CATGTTTTACCTTGAAGAGACACTTTCTTCCAGTTAGTCTACTTATGCCTGTGTTATACTGGATTGATTTATGAATTAGCAAGTATTTATTGAGCTCTTACCCTGGGCCCAGAGTTTAAGGTAACCGAAGACCCTCTCTACCCCAACACTCTTCCCTCTTCCACCTTTCTGAACTTCCCTCTCAAGGCCACCTTCAGAGATTCCATTTCAGAAAAGTAGGCACCCCCGGACCCTGAGTACACTTGAACATTCCCACCATGAGACATTGGATGATGTTGACCCTCTAATTCTTTCCCGTCTTTCAAACTGTGGTTCAAGTCACACCTCTGCCATGACCTCCAAGTCCACGCTGCTTTCTGACAGGTAAGGTTTATTTCATCCAGTAACTACTTTGTAGAGCTAGTTATCATTCTAATTACATGTTACCATGTGATGGAAACAACTGTGTTACATGTATAAGATACACCGTGTATAGAGAAGATGCACAGCCAAATTCTGAAGCGAGTTGGGTCTGCCTGCCCCAAGTGCATGCAGTCTGCCTACCACAGTCAAAATGGTCACACCTGGTAGGTCTCTCTGGGGATGTCTGTGCAATTTGACCTCTGAAGTTATACTGTTCTTGAGTTTTAACACCAGTATTTAAGCAAAAGGTTTATGTATGTGGTAACTCTCCAGAATCTTCTCCTCAAAATAAGGCATACTTCAGTCATCAAAAGAAAAAAAAACACTGAAAATCTGAGTGTGATATCTTTTCCACAGCAATAATCTTCTCTTTCCAATGTGCAAGCTCTTTAAAGGAACCTTGTCTTCTATATCTCTGTCAAGATCTTAACAATGCCTTACTTGGAGATGACTTTCCACACTTACCTATTGGCTTCCCTACTGGTTGGTATAAATAGATTTGATGGGTTGGAAATAATTCAGATGAAATGCACAATGTGATGAGGAGTGCTAGATTTTAGTGAGCAAATGACACAAAAATGATTCTTTCAGCTTGTAACACCTAAGAAAGATGTTATATAACAATAACACTTTTGTCTAAATAAAAATATTTATTTTTCAACCCTGGCTAGTGTAACTCAGTGGACTGAGCACAGGCCTGAGAACCAAAAGATTGCGGTTTGATTCCCCATCAGGGCACATGCCTGGGTTGCAGGCCAGTTCCCAGCAAGGGACACACGAGAAGCAACCATACATTGATATTTCTCTCCTTCCCTTCCCTTCTAAAGATAAATAAATAAATTTTTTAAAAGATAAATAAATAAATAAACAAATGTATTTATTTATTTAATTTTCAAAAAATATTTTCAGTCACCCTTCTGCAAGACTTGGGCATTGTCTCCCTCAACTCCATCTTCTCCAGAATCTGCCTTTTTGTGGGGTGAGGGTGCCAGGAGACCTGTGAGCAGCGGCCCTGGGTATATTTCCCTGAAGAAGACCATTTGTCTCCAGGGATAATGGAAGTCAGAGACTTAGAGAAATACAGTCAGGAGGCAGCAGTCCTTGAAAGGGGAAAGACAGGTGTCCAAGCCTCCCAGGAGAGCCCTGATTCTCACTCTGCACACACTGACAGCTGGTTCCCAGGGAGCCTGGTGGGAAAGCATCCTGTAGTAGCCTAAAAGGTAACATCCCTAACTTACCAAAAACATCAAACAGACTGAAAACCTCACAATCTAGAGACTTTTCCTTCACTACCTCCAAATCAATACTTTGCAAAACATATGATTTGACTCCAGAACTTTTTGAAAATTTGAAACTCTTGAGAGCGAAAGGTGAGCTTTTCCAACTGGGATCAATGAGAGGAGAGGATAAAAGTCACCAACCTCTGGCAGCCATCTTGCCCCCATGAGGTAGGAACCTATGAATGGAGTCAGAACAGAACAAAGCAGAACTAAGACAGAAAGAGTGAGAGGAGCCCCTGAACCCAGTATCTGAAGCCAGCTTTCCCTGGGACTTTCACTTGTTAACCCAACAAACTGTCTTTCCCTTTAGCAATCTTGCATTGGGCTTACTCAATGTACAACCAGAAGAATCTGACTGAACCGGCCAAACTGCGATAGTGGATGCCCAAGTTTTGCTGCTCCTGGATGCTGCCTGCAGAGGAAGGTGGCACCTACCCAACTTCCTGTGCCCATGACTGTGATTGTTATCACAGTGAAGAAACACTTTCTGGAAGACCAGACTCTTTCGGGAAGGCACTTTTAGGGTATTTCCCACGAGGATAAGTGTCTGAGAGACACACGGGAGCCAAACTGGAAACTCTGGGTGTGCTGGTCAGTCACTTCTTCATATCTTCATAACTGGTGAAGAAAGGCCTTTAAATCATGTTAATTCTTTGCGTACTGGACGCTAAATTTTTATTATATTTTGAAACTTAATCTGCCTACCCCATCATTTTCTCTGTTTGTCACAGACACTGATGGTGACAGATCTGCCTTTTCACTTCCTTAGTGCAAACCTATGTGTTTGGTGAGCAAGCACTCACACCACCACCTGCGAGTGCCTTCTGGTGACTGAAAGGCAGTAGCCAGATTTATCTGGGGTGAATTGCAAAAGCCAGACCTAGTTTGGTAAGTAGTTTTGAATTCAACCACCAGCTGAAAACTAAATTTTCGATTATGAATGTTATCTTGGCCAACAAAACCAGAAGTCGCTGTAGAGGAGTTAATTAAACATAATAAACAGTTCAGGCGGAACGGGAAACTATTTTTCCTGTCTCCAAAGCTTCTATTACAGAGGAAGGAAGAGCTAATCAGCAAAGAGTCAGGAACATGAGAAGAATGGGAGACTCACAGCAAGGACTCAGTGTTTGGCACTTACATTTATGACTACAAGTCATAAATTTAATTCCCAGGGGGTCTAAACTCAGGCCTGTGGGAGGGGCAAGGGATAAAAAACTGTGGAAGAGTTATCTACAGAATTTACCACATAAAATGACAGTTATGGTTACAACTGTGATTTGTGGGTGAGTGTGCCAAAATACTTTTTTGGTGACAAGATGACACACACCCAAGGACTTTGAAGACTGAAAAAAATAAATGTGGAGAAAGGTATTGTGCAGAGAAAGTAGAGGATGAGGTGAGGGAGAGATGGAGAAGGTGGAAGAACATTAGAAAGAGAAGTCTTCCCTCTCTTGAGCTGCAGAGTTAAAGACAACTCATTTAAGAAGCCAAAACCAAAACGCACTGCTTTTCCAAAGATGTAAAGAGTGCAGAGAGTTTTACTAATTTAAAAATATTCCGTGTGAAAGTGGACAGAAGATTTCCACAGGATTTTCCAAAGATCCAAGGCCCTTCCCCCAACCACCAAATCTCACAAACTTCATGATGGGTGAGCGGAGCAAAAAACAAGGCGGGGGCACTCCTTTCCACCACTGTCTAGAATTCTACATACCGCATGCCATTTGAAATGTGGCTGTGGGCTGTGAGAACAAGGTTGCCCTTTGCTAGATGTGAGGAGTCTGGGATCAGAAAACATCCTTTTCTGCGTTCCTGGAGCACAGGCCTTGTGCCTCTCCCACACAACCTGAAGATAGCTGCTCACAGCTGCTTGGTGCCTCCCCCACTTGAGCAAGCCATCTGTCCCATGAAAGACAAGGGAGGCCTCGTGGCGAGGAGCTGCGGCAGACAGAGACCGTAGAGGACTCTGGGGTCCAGGTAGGAGGGGGAGACCCGAGAAAAAAAAATCCTCATGCTGAGCTGGTTCTTGTGAAAAGTAGGGTAAGTGAGGAAGGATAAAAACAACATTTTTCCTGTAATTTCAACCTGTCCCTAAAATATCCATTTGTACTACAGTCCTGGGAGCTGCAAGGGGTACAGTTATAAAGAGAAGGGGGCTGGAGGGAAACCTGAAGAAGAAGAAGTGTGACTTTTCCCCTTTCCTACTCTGTTGCTGCGCCAGAAATGCAGAAAGAGGGGGGTGAACTGGAGAGCACCTAAGGGGCACCGGCAGAATTGGGGAGGAAAAAGAGTATTAGTTTTCTACAGCTGACCAAAAAGCAGTTATATCTATGCATAGGAATGAAGATGATGCACACTGAGGTATGAAAAGAGGATGAAGACAAAAAGAAGTAAAAATATTTAAGCAACTTTTTGAGACTGCAGTAGTTCAAATGACCAAGTAAAACTTGAGACAAGAGTTTATGTGTAAAGCTCCCCCAACCAAATCAAAGTAGAAGCCAAAGCGTAACTGCTTGGTACACTGGGAATTATTTTTCAAGAAAGTCATTACAATGCTCAGGATATTCTACAACTTCAAGAACTTCTCCTTGACTATCTGCATGAATTTTGCCCAGTTACTTTCTCTCCCAGACTCCCTTTCCTCAGTTCTGCAGAAATGAGATGAAAATAACAACTCCCTTACGGGGTTGCACAGGCGATGGACTGTCACTGCCCACAAAAACAAAGCACTCTGCAACCGGAAAGCTTTAAATAAATGATAAGAATGTCACTCAACTCCTTAAGATATTTTGAATTTGAACTTGTACTCATGGAGTCACATCCATGGGAGTCATGATTTTTAAAGTTAAGGATCAGGAGCTCAGCTCAGATGACCCTACGCCTTGGCCGCTGATAAAATGAGCAACACCAGCCCACTGGAGTAGGCATCTAACACTGAAAATCACCGTGGGCTGTCTTTAGATGGCTTTCACAAACCACCAGGCTTGATGCCAATGTACAATATTTGTTGGTGTACAATATTTGGAGGTGAAAATAATCATTGGAAGACAGCGTAGTCAAGCCAAGGGGGATGTCATGCCGAGGGGCAGTGATAACCAGCCCTCCAATTGCTCAGGCCCAAACCCATGACTTACAGGGAAGGGAAAGGGGGCTTGTTGTTCGCTAGGCACACGGCTTCAGTTCTGTGCGGTGAAACAAGTTCTGTGGACGGACGGTGGCGATGGCAGCACAACACTGTGAATGTGCTTAGTGCCAGTGATCTGTACACTCGAAAATGGCTAAGATGGTAAATTTTATGTTATTGATTTGTTGGCACAATTTTTATCTTTATTTACTTAATCTTTATTTACTTATTTTTGGAGATAGGGGAGGGAGGGTGAAAGAGTGCAGAGAAACATCGATGTGAGAAAGAAGCATCGACAGCTTGCCTTGCATATGTGTCTCCACTAGAGACTGAACCCGCAACCTAGGCACATGCCCCTGGCCGGGAATTGAACTGGTGACCTTTCGATTTGTGGGATGATGCCCAACCCACTGAGCCACACCAGCCAGGGCTTGGCACAATTTTTAGAAGTTATGAAAACCCTCCCCCCCCAACAAATCACCTTTGATTTCCATTTTCATTCACTAATAAGACGACATAACCTGAGGAGCGATGTTGAGAGGATGGGAGATGCAGTCAAAGAATGTTGCTGTAACTCCTCGGACCCCTCAGCGGGTGACCAGGAAGCAGAGGTGTTTCTCAGTCCCACGTTTTTTCTCACCCAGGTGACACCTCCAACACAGCTTCTGTCCCCAGATTCTCTGTATCGCCCTCACGTGTTCAAATCTCTGGCCAGGGCTAGTATCCTCACTGCTGATTCCTCAGGTTGGCTCTGGGCGAAGGAAGTGGGAGATAGAGGGGAAAGACATTTAGAAATCTAAAATCAAAAGTAAACAATCCAGGATTTGTTTCCATAAGAGAGTGATATGACTTGCAGCGATTTTCCATGTACTCCTGGACAACAGGAAGACTTACCATGGTTGCACGGACTCTGGAGGCTTGCATATGGATATCCTGTCCCAGATGGTTTCACTGCTGAACAGAAGCAAAAGTAAGCAAGTGAGTACTCTGGGAGCGGGATTAAAGACTGTGGCCAGAAATAATTTCCCAAGTCCTGTGTCAACCGGTGACACAGAACACACCATTCTCATCCTGGCAGGTCCCAAGCTAAGAATCAAAACAAATAAACCAAAGAAACAACAGACCAGGAAGCCAGTAGGAAAACTTCCCATACTTTATTTTTTGAAGCATCTTTCTAGAGAGGAGATACAGGCTTCCACCTTGACACCCGGTGCTAACCCTGGAACCCACGGAAGCCTCAGGCATTGGCAGTGGAAGAAACCTCTGCCTTTCCGAATGGTCTGCAAGGAAGCAGCACATGAAGCAGGAGGCACTTCAGGTGGATCCTGTACGAGACATACGGTCACGACAAGCCAGGGGGCCAGAAATGCTGTGACTTACGAAGGTTCATTACCTTCAAAGGGAGGGTAAATTGGAATAGCATTTTGAGGATGTTAAAAAGTTGCATGTGTCTGTGTTTTAATTGTTTACTCTTGGTCCACTAATTCCACTCAGGAATTTTTCTTGTGCAAATAATCAGCCAAGTACAGGATTTATTTACAGCATTGCTTATAATTGCACAAAAGAAATTGACAATAACTTAAATATTATACTGATTAAATAAATGATATTTTAATACAGTGGAATATTATGAAGGCATTAATATGGTGGTGAAAATTTATTTATTGATGTAAAGAGACACATATAGCTTGGTAACATGTATCAATGCTTCAAAGAAAGTATATAGACTTTAACTCCTCCTCTCTCAGGAACTTACCTTCAAAAAGAACAAAAGTGCAGGCTGTTCAGCACGGCAATGTGTGCGGCAAGTGTGCCCTGCTACAAACATTGCTGTTACATGTGCCCTATTAATTGAGACTGACTGAATGTATTATGATGTGATTACATCACAGAATATCATGTGAGCATTAAAATTATGCTACAATTTGTCTTTGTTACAGAGAAAGCTAACAGTAATATTAAGTGGAAAAAATTTACATAATAGTAAGTATCGCATAATTCCACCTTAGTAAAAGTAAAAATAGTATAGGAAAGCTGTGTGTGCATGTACACACACATACACACCCCTAATTTTTAGCAATCTTTTTTCTTTTTTATATTTGCTTTTCTAATGGGAATATACTTTTATAATAAGAAAATGCAATAAGCCATTTTAAAAGAAGCATACAAAGATAATACTTAAGAATTAATTCTAAAATAGTATTTCTCAGTCTTTTTTCATTACCATTCCATAAAGAGACTTTTCAGACATATTTTCCACCACCATGAAATTTTATTACCACAGACATATTGTATATCTGTTTGTGTACATATGTACATCTGCTTTATTTTTTTAAGTATAATTTTTGGATCCTTAAGAACCAATCCCTACCCTCTATCTTGGAGCAATATTGTCCCTATGAAGAGTTATGTTCCTAAAGAAGAATAGGAGTTTGTGTGAGGAACTTCTTAGTGTGGGGGAAAAGGCCCAAAAGTTCAAGTTCAGGATGGGTTCCAAAGAACCGACACACAGCCTTATTCAAATTCGTAAGAGCTTCAGTAGAAGAAACACACATGAGCAAATCAGCTGCTCCTGGTGGAGGTGGGCCAGGAATTATCCCCACCCCTCCCTGGACAGGGTCTCTTTTTTATAGGGGGTTAATGGTAAAACCATTTGATGAGTAGTCACAGAGACCACCAGAAAGAACAATGCATTCCTAAGTTAACAGATAACATCAGGCAGTTATCACATTCCATGCACTCATTATCCTCTTTCTTGGGGGCATGGCGTTTATCTTTGGGTGTATTCTGGGTTTCTGGGTAGTCAGCCATGCCTGAGGCTGTAGAGGGTTAAACAGTCACAGAACATTACACAGAGAGTCGAACATTTCCTACACTTAGTTATCCTAAGACATCCTAAATTTACTTACCTAGCTTTTCTATTTTATTTCTTTGTTTGCACGTATTTATTTATTTTTTTAAAGATTCTATTTATTTATTTTTAGAGGGGAAAGGGAGGGAGAAAGAAAGGGAGAGACATCAATGTGTGGTTGCCTCTCACATGCACGCACTACACTGGGGACCTGGCCCGCAACCCTTTGGTTCAAAGGCCCGTGCTCGATCCACTGAGCCACACCAGCCAGGTCCTGCATGTATTTCTTTCTTCTTTTTTTTTTTGCATATACACACCAGCCACTACCTCAACATACTCTACTGTCGAAGTTCTTTTCAACAACCAAATTTTCTGAGAGGCCAAGGGGTACAACGTGAGAATAGTGGACTCACACATTCTGCCCGATCTTGCTTCCTGTCTTTAACAGATGTTAAACCCAATAACACCCCCTCAATCCAATTTCTGCTTTCTAATCTCCATCTGAGTCAGCCTTCCCCTGTCATCTGAGCCTGTGACCAGGCTTAGCCTCAAAGAGTACACCGGCCCTGATTCTAGAAGTCCAGGTGGGCTGGCCACCAGTTCATCTCCAGTATTGGAAACAAAGGCCTATTTAACTTTTGCCTTCCTTTCAATGATCAAAAAAGTTGGGTTAAATTTCATTTTTTAACTCATATTATACAAATACATTTTCAAAGCTGACATTTGTTCTCCTTTCCACATCTCCCAGGGAGAAATGATCACATCCAGAACTTTGAGAAATTGCCTGTGCATCTGAGGGAAGGAGGAAAGGACTGGATTATCACAAAGTAGTGTCTTTGGGTCTTGCCAGAGAAAGCCACAGGAATTTGCCGGAAGACAATCTTACAGAAAGACTAACTGATTGCTCTCTCTCTTCCTTCATGCTCCACCCACTGTGAAAACATTCTATTCATATGCTCTCTGATGCTTACAGTTGTGAGTTATTGCTAAGAATGCGGTTGAGGGACCCAATCAATGACCCTACGCTCTCCTGTGAGCACTGGGATTAGGAATATACACAGGAGAAGGACGGGGATCAATGTACAATATGAGCATGGTTGCTATGTGTGGACCTGTGGCCAAGCAGGCTTCTTGCTGCTGTTATTTCCCCAAATTGAACAAATGCCCTGGGTCCCAGGCACTCCCACAGAGGCCCGGCCACCCCACTGTGCATTTTGATTGGAAGAGGCAGGACTGAGAAGTGAGATGCAGCTTGCGGAGGATGACCTTCCAAAAAAGAGTCAAAGAGATGTGGCCTTTATCGAGAGTATCAACTCTAACCGTGTTTACCAGTCGTGAAGAAAATGTGGAACAATACCTGCCTTCCACCAGACATGGAAAAGAGCCGGTGAGAGGTGGAGGGGAAGCTGCAACTTCCTCCCTCTCGTTCCCTGGGGAGAGGGGGGTCTTGGCAGAATTTCCTATTTGATGGAGAAACTTCGGAAAAAGAAGAAAAAGATGGCTCCTGTGGAATACAAGTTTTTCCATATAAATTTTATCCATTTATTCATTCAATACTTATTGAAGTTTTCCTGTGTGCCAAGCATAGTAAAAAACACAGTGCTTCAGTTACCATTTTGTCAGGTAATGTCCCACCTCACCCAGCCACTCATCCCCAGTTCTCTGCCAGCCCAGACGCTAAGCCTGCAAATACTTTAAAAGGGTGGAGGACATGGTTGCTAAGTACTGGGAAGTAGTCCCAGTACTGTGCTCCCACCAAACAATATACCACCACCCAAATCCAAAAAACCAAAACCTCCCCAAACTAGAGTGACCGACTCCACAAACATGGTGCCCCAGGATATGTTCAGTTTCTGAAAGAATACACAGAAAAAAAGAGTGCAAGAGACCTACGAACAAAAGGGAGAAGTTAAGGTTGATGGGATAGTGGGAGAAAAGCAACAAAAAGCAGTGAAAACTTACTGGTAGCAGGGAAATAAAGCAGCCTGGACTTTTGCTGGAGGTGATGTCTACTGTTTTCAAACTTTATTTTCAACACTAAAATAACTCTTTCAACACTAAAATAATTGATGCATACATACATATATACAATTATATGATTTATGTATACTGATTATCTCAACCCTTTCAAGAAAAGGCTAATTTACAGAGTATTTTTATTTTCTAAGGGAGTATATAATGTTTTAAGAAGTTTTCTAAGAAAACTATTTTCAACACAGAAACAAGTTAAAGTTTTGTTGAATGTATGTTCATCTAAAGATCTTATTTCTGGACGGGGCTGAAAAATTAAACATTACTGCACATTATCCGCCATGAGGTCCGTCTTCTGAAGTTCCCCTTGTCTTTAGAGGAATGAGAAAGGTGAAGTTAAAAATAAACCAGAGAAGTGCTAGAAGGAAAAGTGGTTGCATTTGAATAATCTTGGGAGGGTGGAAGAGGAAGGTGGAGGGAAAGGGCTTTCTGCGGATGTGGCAGAACTCTGAAGTCATAAGGGGAAAGTGTAATCAATTTAATTACATGAATATTAATATTTATGCATAACTAAAATTCCAGCTGGAGCTGTTTCTGTATCCTTATCGGCACTGAGTTCTGAACATTTCAACTATGGAAAAATACTTACAAAGGAGGAAATATAAAAATAAGGTTACATGGCTATCTCTTGGTTGTGACTGTGGGTAATTTTTTGTTTATATTTATGTTCAGCAAAACTACTAAAATGATAACATTAATGGGGTAATAAAAGTTAGGCTTGACTAAATATGATTGATAGGCTTGACTGACATATGATTTAAAACAAAGTGTGTTTACAGCTAATTCTTTTCACAAACATAAAAGGTAATTGGGCAGCAAAAAAAGGGGAAAAAAGTGATGACATGAGGCACGAGCCCATAACTAGGCCCATTATTTCCATTATTTGCATAGCGTTCAAACACTGAACTGAACTACAGTGTTCATGCACTCATTCAAATGGCTGGAAAGTATACAAATATCCTGTTAAAACTGATACTGATACACAAGCAAAACTGATGGCTTTTTCTTTATGTATCTGTTGTTTGGGGGAAATTGAAGTCACTTAGAAACAAGGTTTATTTGAGAGTATTAC